GATCTCTCTAGCTTGAGTTTTGTTAAAAATAGGCTAACCCTCGTTTTTGAAATGTTAAATACTGTCCAGACACTCAATGCATTGCGAACGAGGAGACTAGATCGCATTCGCGGAGAAGAAAGATGGAAGATGTCAAATATGCTCTTCGCGATCGCGAGGAGTAGGATGCGAACGCGAAGGCCTGGGATTTTTAAAGCTACGCGAACGCGTGGCCTGTAACGCGATCGCGATTAAGGAAAATGCTGAGGTCTAGAAGTTGTTCTACGCGAACGCGTGCAAGGGTTCGCGAACGCGAAGAACTGACTGGCATAGGTACGCGAACGCGGTGAAGTTTATGCGAACGCGATGAAGAAACTGGCCTCCCTCCAAGATTACACTATGCGAACGCGAGAGGGAGGCCGCGATCGCGAAGAGGAAAAGTCTGCAACAGCTGAGTTCAGTTTTCTGCAATATTTTCCAACTCCAAAGTGCTCCGTTGAGCACCCGGAACACACCCGAGGCCCCCGGGACCTCAACCAAACCTACAGACATATCCCATAACATTATCCAAACTTGTACCAATCCTTAAACCACCTAATACAACGTCGGAAACACGAATTAATCAAGGATTCAAGCCTAAGAACTTCAAATTCCAACCAAACACGCTTTCGATCAAAAACCTACCCGAACCTCGTTCGAATGACCTGAATTTTGCACACACATCCCAAATGACATGACGGAACTGTTGCAACTTCCGGAATTCCAATTCGACCCTCGGATCAAAAACTCACTATCGGACTGGAAACTTCAAAAATCCAAACTTCGGCGTTTCAATCCTAAATGAGCTACGAGCCTCCAAAATACATTCCGAACATGCTCCCAACCCCAAAATCACCTAATGGAGCTAACGGAACCATCGGATTTCCATTCCGAGGTCGTCTTCACACTGTTCTGATTACGGACCATTTTTCAACTCTTAAGCTCTCATTTAGGGACTAAGTGTCCCAAAACACTCCGAATCCCAACACCGAACGTCCCGGCAAACCAAAATAGCAGAAATAAACTTAGGGGAAGCAGTTAATGGGGGATCGGGGCGTCCAAAAACGACCGGCCGGGTCGTTACAGAGACCATAGAGAGATTTCATGAGCCTGCATACCTTCAACTCCCCCTGCTTATGAAATCCCTGAGGTAGCTTCATATAAACTTCCTCATTGCAGAAAGGCATTGCTCACATCCATTTGATATAGAACCCATCCTTTTGCAGCAGCTATACTAATAATGGTCCTGACTGTGACCATTTTGGCCACAGGGGAAAAAGTGTCATGGTAGTCCAGCCCTTCCTTTTGATTATATCCTTTTGCAACCAGCCTTGCCTTGTATCTTTCTACCTCTCCATTAGATTTGTATTTGATTTTGTACACCCATTTTGACCCAATGGCCTGCTTCCCAGCTGGTAAGTCCACTATCTCCCAGGTGTTGTTGTCCTCTATTGCTTTGATTTCCTCTTTCATAGCTGCAACCCATTTGTTGTCATTGGAAGCCGTTCAAATCCATCAAATAATAAGACGTAGCTGGGAGGAAAGAGGAATGAGGCTAGTATTGAATTGGAATCCAGTAACGAACTCTTAGTCATTATGCTAAAAACATTATGGAGAGTTAAAAGGATAGAATGTGAGAAGGGGTATTTTAAACAATACACACTCACACATGTGATAGGCACGTGAGTGATTAGTTAAGTTGTTAGAGCTTAGTTAAATACTGTGTAATGACATGTACAGTAATAACATAATAGAAAATCGATTTCATCTCTTCTTCCTTCTTCCTTCATTCTCTGAATTCTCTAGAAACTAGGGTTTAATTGCTCATGCAATCCCAGATTATATCATGGTATCAGAGCGGGTTAATGTGAATCTGTAAGATCTGAACATCGAACACCGTTAGAAGCTTCAATTTGATTGACCATGGGAGAAACAGCTAGCCCTCAGATTGATCACAATCATCCTCTATTTTTAGCATCTACAAACACACCTGGAGTTGCATTGCACGATATTAAACTCACCGGACCTGAGAATTATGGTTTGTGGAGAAGATCGATGCGGATGGCACTTTTGGTGAAGAACAAGCTAGGGTTCATTGAAGGAACCTGCTTGAAGAGCTCTTACAAAGGAGAATTGGCGAATCAGTGGGAAAGGTGCAACGTAGTGGTTCTTTCATGGATAGGACGCACAGTATCTGCAGAATTACAACCGAGTATCATCTATGCATCGAACGCAAAAACTGTGTGGAACGAGTTCAAAGAGAGGTTTGATAAATCTAAACTTACTCGTTTTTACCTTCTGTGGATACAAATTGGATCGCTAAAGCAAGGTACTGATTCTGTAACATTGTACTACACAAAAATGAAAGACCTTTGGGATGAAATAGATCTGTTAGTTCCAGCACCAGGCTGTGATTGTGAGGATACTAGACCCTTCATTGAACAATTTAAGAATTTACGTTTGCTGTAATTCTTAGTTGGACTTAATGAAAGCTATAGCCAAGTAAGAAGCCAAATATTGCTGAAAACGCCAGTGCTGACTGTAAACCAGGCCTATGCTTTGGTTATTCAAGAGGAAAGCCAACGTGAGTTAGGTGTGCTTGAAGTGAACAGGGAACCCTTAACTATGATGGCAGGACAGAATCAAGGCTATAAGCCTAAGAAGATTGGCATTGTTTGCGAGCACTGTGGATACAAGGGACATCTCAAGGAAAATTGTTACAAAATCATAGGGTATCCCCCTGGTTTTAAAAGCAAGAAGAAACAACAGGGTCAAGGAAACAGAGTTTATGCCAACATGGCTTCAGAAGAGACTGTAGGTTCTTCTCAAGGACAACAACTTGGACAGTTTTCACTGAAAGCCAGTACAAGCAGATATTAGATTTCTTGAACAAAACACCTGCAGGTGATAGTCAGGCACTTATGGAAGGTATAACTGCATTATTGTATCTCTATGTGAATGGATAATAGAGCATCTCATCATATTACATGTAATAAGGAGATCCTATCCAATTTAGAGAATATTAATCAGCAAGGCAATCATAAAGTGCAGGTCCCAACAGGTAGCAAATGTTCAGTAACACATAAAGGAAATGCATCTATCCTAGGAGGATGTGAATTGAAGGATGTTTTATATGTTCCTGATTTTAAGTTTAACCTGTTGTTAGTCTCCAAATTAACCAAGGAATTGTGGTGTTGTGCCCTATTCTTCCCTGATTTTTGTGTATTGAAGGGTCTTTACAATGGGAAGGTGATGGGGATTGGTAGAGAGAATTGTGGACTTTACATACTGAAGTGGAAAGAGAAACCTATAGAAGCAATGGTTACCAAAGGAAATGATGAAAGCAGTCTTTGGCATATGAGGTTAGGGCATCCATCAATAATGGCAATGAAACATATTCCTGCCTTGAAGAATAAAGCAGTAGATAGTATACAGTGCAATTGTGAAGTGTGTCCCTTAGCTAAGCAAAGCAGATTGAAGTTTCCTCTTAGCAGAAGTAAAACTGATTGTCTTTTCCATCTTATTCATCTTGATGTTTGGGGACCTCACAAATTGCCTACATATGATAGAAAACATGATTTTCTTACAATTGTGGATGATTTTAGTAGGTATACTTGGGTGTGCTTATTGCAATCAAAGTCTGAAGTTGTAACAGTGCTGAAAGATTTTCTTACAATGGTAAAGACCCAATTTGACATGAATGTAAAGGTGTTAAGATCTGATAATGGGAAGGAGTTTTCTAATTCTAGCTGTAATGAGTTATTAGCATCTTTAGGTATTGTACATCAAAGCAATTGTCCTTACACACCCTAACAGAATGGGGTGGTGGAAAGGAAACACATGCATATACTTGAAGTAGCTCGAGCATTAAGCTTTCAGAGTTCTGTTCCTAGCAGGTTTTGGGGAGACTGTATTAAAACTGTTGTATACTTGATCAATAAATGGCCTACATCTTTGTTACAGGGAAAGTCTCCTTATGAGATTTTGTATAACAAACTACCTGTTATTGATCACTTGAAAATATTTGGATGTTTATGCTTTGCTAGCAATTTGCCAAAGGGAGACAAGTTTGCAAAGAGGGCAAGGAAATCAGTCCTCATAGGATACTCAGAAGTTCAGAAAGGATATAGATTGTTTGACTTGGAAACTAACTCTATTTTTATAAGCAGAGATGTTAGTTTTAGAGAACATATTTTTCCTTTCAGAGAAGATACAACTACTATGGACGACTGTTTTCCTACCCAAACAACTGTACCTGATTACTCATCATCAGTTTCAACTACTGATGCACAAGAATCATACCCCACTATTGCCACAGATGTCCCTATTACACCCACAGACAATGATCTAGTCACAGGAGATGTCACTATACCAGTTGCAGAAATACTGGATACTGATTCTACAACTCCAAATACAGAAGAAGTTGAAGGTGAACATGAAATGCAAGATATTTCAGCTGAATTGCTCCCAACCAATGTACCAGAGATTGCTATTGCTCCTCATACAAGCAGAATGGAGCCTGTTAAGGATCAAGGTCCTAGGAAGACAACAAGGACATCAAAGCCTCCAGTTTGGCTAAAGGACTATCAGACTACCAAGAAGTTCACTGGTTGCTGTCTATACCTCTTATCTAATACTTTGACTTATGCTAATATCTCAACAGGTTATCAAGCATATTTGGAGGCTTTTTCAGCTGAGGTGTAACCCAGCACTTTAGAAATTCAATCGGAGTTCGGGTTTCATTTAAAAAGGCCTGATTTATGCTTATTATCAATCCTTGTGGGAGCTTACCCCTATGGCTTTAGCACGCCCTCGAGCGGATCAAACCTTCCTTCTTCCTGCTCAAGCAGATGCCGAACCTCATTATTTAGCGGCTCTCCCAGTAGGTCCTCCTTCCCTACAGAATGGAATTCCAGGGCGTCTAGCTTAGATCGCATTTGCTTTATGTTGAAAGTTATTTTTCATGTTATTATGTTCTCTATGAGGAAGTAATTTTATGGTATTTGGTTATCAGAAAATATTTTGAAAAAATATATTTACATCAGAAGGGAAAAAATAATATACAAAATAAAAATATAACTTGTGAGTAATAAATTAACATGTAATTTGTTAGAAATTGAGTTTTTATGATTAACAAAACATATAGTAGGTGTGGTGAGTCTAAGATCGTGGTTTTGCTAGTTGGTTCTTGCTGCGTCCAACTAGCAATCATATGTCAAGATTATAAGAAAGTCAAGTCCATATGAGAAAGTAGGGGTGTACAAAGGAAACTGATAAACCGCACCAATCCGATAATCCGAATCAAACCGGAAAAAAATCCGACTATGGTTTGGTTTGATTTGGTTTGGTGTTGGAAAAAAAAAACCCGACCATAATTGGTTTGGTTTGGTTTTAACTAAAAAAAGTCAAACCGAACCAAATCAACCCGATTTTATATGTATAGAAGTTTTAAATATATTTAATACATAAAAATATTTATGGTAGTGTAGTTTATAAATATTTCTTAAGCTTTTTCATAATTTTATCTTTTAACGTATTATTTCAAACTTGGGCTTATAATTTTTGGATGCTCCAATAAGTTTTAATGTACATAAATGTTAGTAACTCAAATAAATCTTAAACCAAAATCAAATCAATACTAATGCNTATTGAATGTCTATTTTTTGTTTTGCAATAATTTAGATAAAAATGCATAACCTATTTTTATTTTTTCTTTGGCGTTTAGTCATGTTATTAATACTCCCTTATTAGTCTAATTATTTTAGCATGACTTAGTACTTTTAGATTATGTTTATTTTTATTATGGCTTTTTAATTAGCAATATTTATATTACATGATTTTATTGTCTTTATTGTTGAATATTTTAGAATAATGCCATGACACATCTCATATTTTGTATTATTTTCTTGAAAAATACTTTAAATAGTTGTATCTTACTAGGATTAAGGAAATATTTTGAGCACATGTTATATGTTTTGTTCTACGAAGATTTTACCGGAAAAAACCCCGAAAAAATCCGAAAACCCGGGAAAACCCGAGAAAAACCGAGATTGAAAAACTCGAGTTTTATTGGTTTGGTTTGGTCTTTAGATTTAATAACCCGACACAATTGGTTTGGTTTGGTAATTGTAAAATCCGAACCAACCCGACCTATGTACACCCTATGAGAAAGTATAATATCGGAGATCTTTATTTCCTTTATTGGAAGTTAGAGGATTAGAAGTTAGTTATTATTGGGACCTAAATTTAATTACTAGGAGTTAGGGGGTCCTTTTATTATTTTGTTTTCTCAATTAGTTGTATATAACTAATTTTGTTAGCACAGTAATGACAGTTGGAAAATTCCCAATTCGTTGCTTCTTCTTCCTCACGTTACAGAGCTCTCTAATGGCATATTTTGACATGGTATCAAAGCCATAGAGATTGATCCATGAGATTGTGAAATTTCTCCAACTAATCGACTGCTTTGATCCAATTCACTTTCTTATTTTCTGATTCGAAACAATTCCTAGCTTTTTGATACTTTGCATGAGCGTTAATGGCGACAGAGACACCGGCGAAAATCGACCACACTCATCCACTCTTCCTTCAACCTTCAGACACGCCTGGATTAGTTCTAATTCCGATTCAGCTCACAGGATTGGAGAACTATGGATTGTGGAGTAGATCGATGCGTCTTACCCTCAAGGCCAAGCGGAAGTTAGGGTTTGTAACATGAGCTTGTGCAATGGAGTCATTCGAGAAAAATCTCCATGAGGAATGGGAGACTTGCAATGCGATAGTGCACAGCTGCATTATGAACTCTGTTTCGAAAGATCTGCTTAGCGGTATCATTTATGCATCAGATGCACATGCAGTTTGGGAAGATCTACAGGAGCAATTTGATAAGGTAAATCAAGTTCGTATCTTTCAGTTACACAGATCGATTTCGAGGTTATCTCAAGGGGTAGATTCTATAGCTGTATATTTTACCAAATTGAAGGAACTATGGGCTGAGTATGATGTTTTGGTGCCATATCCGGACTGTGGTTGTCCAAACTCTAAAGAACACATGACTCATTTACAGAAACAAAGAGTTATGCAATTCCTAGATGGACTAAATGATACATATGACCAAGCTCGTAGACAAATTCTAACGAAGACAACTGAACCCACACTTAATCAGGCATATGCACTCATAACACAAGACGAGAGTCAACAATGTGCAGGAGGTGGAGTCCTAGGTCACAAATCAGATCCCTTAGCTATGCAAGCAGGGAGAGGTCAAGGATTTCGTGGAAGGAAACAATATCTGCAATGTGAACATTGCCATATGAGAGGACACACAAAGGAAAAAGTTACAAAATAGTAGGATACCCTGAAGATTTCAGAAGGAGGAAAGCATTTCATCCTAAGGGGATTCTAACAACTGCAAATCATGTGGAAGGTTTTGTGAATCATGAAGAAGGAAATATGGCTCAAAGTTCACAAGGAATATCAGGAGCATCACAAGCTAGAGGAGGAGACCATTTCTTTACAGAAGCACAATATCAACAGATTCTAGATTTGTTGAGAGACTCACCACCAAGTGACATGAAGGCACAAAATCAAGCAACAACTGCAGGTATAATCACTTCATTATCTTCTAGTGTGCATATCTCAAACAAAAGGAATGATGATTGGATTGTAGACTCAGGAGCAACACATCATATTTCATCTACCTTAGATTTAATGAATGATGTAAGAAGAGTAGATGACAGGACACAAGATAAAGTGACATTGACAAATGGTGTCACTACAAAAATTGAACATGTGGGGAGTTCATATTTGTCAGATTTTGATAAGCTAGAGAATGTACTACATGTTCCTGACTTTAAGTTTAATCTAATGTTAGTGTCCAAGCTAACTAGAGATCTAAAATGTGCGGCCACATTTCTGCCCACACTATGTGTGTTTCAGGACCTTTACAATGGCAGGGTGAAGGCGATTGGTAAAGAGAATGAAGGTTTATACATACTAAAAGGAAGAGGAATCAGACTTTTAGCAGCAAATATGGATGTAAGAGGTTCAAGTGCTGAAACATCATACTTGTGGCATGAGAGATTAGGCCATGCTTCTGTTCTTGTAATGCAGCATATTTTTTTTGCATAATAAAGTAGATGATAATATGCAGAACAAAATATACTGTTTGCCCTTTAGCTAAACAGTCTAGACTTAGCTTTCCTAACAGTGAGAAAAGGAGTGCTAGAGTTTTTGAATTAGTTCATATGGATGTATGGGGACCATATAAGAAGAGCACTCATGATAGAAAACATTATTTTCTTACAGTTGTGGATGATTTTTCTAGAGCAACTTGTATTTTCTTGATGCAGTATAAGAGTGAAACTATTACTTTTCTGAAGCAATTTGTTTACATGGTTAAGAGATAATTTGATACTTGTGTCAAGATTTGAGAACAGACAATGGTAAAGAATTTTTCAATGCACAGTGGAATGAATTCTTGCTATCTCAGAGAATCATTCACCAAAGTAGTTATATATATATACACCCCAGCAGAAAGGAGTAGCTGAAAGAAAATATAGACATATACTGAATACTGCCAGGGCCTTGAAATTTCAAAGTCATGTTCCAGACATGTTTTGGGGGGAATGTGTACAAACTGCTGTTTACTTGATTAATAGATTGCCTACCAGGATACTAAGTGGTAAAAGCCCTTATGGAATGATGTATGGTAGAGAGCCCTCAATAGCACATTTAAGGGTTTTTTGATGCCTATGTTATGCCACAAATCTGATACTAGATGATAAATTTGGTGCAAGGGCTAGACAGGCTGTTCACATGGGGTATTCAACTACACAAAAGGGCTATAGATTGTATGATTTAACTACTAGGACCTTCTTCATTAGCAGGTATGTATCATTTAGGGAGAATGAGTTTCCATTTAGGAAAATGACACAGCATCCATTCACATCTAATGACTTTGGTTCTAGTTTTTTGGAGACTGATATGCAGGGTCAACCAGGTGGACTACTAGCAATTTCCAATCTTGAGCAATCATTTCAGGTTCCTCCTGCTGCAGAAACAGGCACCAGTTCACCAGTAGAGGATGGCAATAATGGAGTGAATACTGCATCATCACCAGCAGAAGATTTGGAAGAGTCATCAGTACCAAATGAAAATCATGATGCTGCACCACTTGTGCTGGAGAATGTTGAAGACATATCTGTTGGTTCACTTGTTCAAGATGGTGTCACTAAAGATATTCAAAATGGGCAAGATACACCTAGGACTGAGTCTGTTTCCAATGCACCAACTAGACAGTCACTAAGGGTAAAGAATCCACCTATATGGCAAAGAGACTATGTGTTGCAGTCATAGAAGCCCTCACAATGCAATTATCCAATCTCAAACTTCCTATCCTATGAGAAGATGTCATCAAAATACAGAAGTTATGTTTCAACTTTTTCAGCCTTGAAGGAGCCTTATAACTTCAAGGAAGCTGTAAAGGATGAGAGGTGGATCACAGCCATGAAGCAGGAGATACAAGCATTAGAAGATAATAAGACTTGGGAGGTTGTTGACTTGCCATCAGGTAAAACCTCTATTGGGTCCAAGTGGGTGTACAAAATAAATTACCAAGCAAATGGAGAAGTTGAAAGATTCAAGGCACGACTAGTGGCAAAAGGATACATCAATAAGAGGAATTGGAATATCATGAGAAATTT